GGAACAGCCAGAATCCCAAAACCGCCAATGACCATAGGACACCCAGACTGGCCCCTGCAGACCTCCAGCCGGCCAATACCCTTACTGAGCCAGAAGAAAGAGGTGGCTGTGAAACACCCTCCACCTGTCGCGGTACCCCAGCACCTGGGGAGAACACAGTGTCACCCTAGTTCCTAAGCAGTGCTTCCACCATGGTGGAGGAAAGACACTGAGGCCATTGTGAAAGTGTCCTGCTTTTAACGTTTTTAAGTTTCTAGGAAAACTGGAGGGAACTACACGCTCTCTAGGTGCTGCATTAAGACGATTAGGGAAACACGGACACACACACACACACAACACACCTGGAACCTCCCTGAACTGACCCTTGCCATTTTCTATCTGGCCACCATATATCCTCCTTTCTTGCAGTTTATTACAACATACCACCTCCTTTCTTGCAGGTTGCTGTCCATCACTTAAATATTACCAGCATGATAAACATTGAAATTAAGATTCAATATGCAGTATATAAAGATTTTCAACAAAATATTTTAACGAACCGTGCATGCTTAAACTCAAACTATACCTTTAGTTCAAATCAACTGAATTCCAGGTGCATCAAAACAAATATTTCAATGTCTTTCAGTTTGTTTACTGCCTAAAGCAGTCCCAGGATGAACAGAAAAGCCTGCTACCCTTCCTGGGACCCTTGCCCTTTGTAGGGAGTCAACCGACTCTGCAAACTTAGACCAAAAAAAACTTTGGCAACTTTGACCTTGCCAGGGGTAAGGGTCCCACTCTGCAGCATTTTAGCAGAGGACAGGCCTTTCTACTCTACTTTCTACACCTTTTGTTTTGATGCACATAGGATCCACTTAGCTGATTTACCCTGGACAATTGTTTAGACTTTTAACTTAAAATTTTTGCTTATGGGAATACCATTAACTGTTAACTTTTGTAAGATGATTATACATCTGTACATGATAGTCTGTATGTGTTATTTAAAGACTTTAAGGCTTTTTTTTTTCTAAACACAAAACTACATAAGAACTATTGTCATATTATATTGTATGAAAATGTGTTGTAGAAATTGGTTCATAGGGTAGAAACTTGTATATGCTGCTCTGGTCCTAAAAAGGATGTTTGGGGAAGAGAACTCATACAAAATGTTCACATGGTGCGATTGTGATACAGGTCATTATTGCAGAGTGTAATTTTAGGAAAACGTCTTTCATATGTTTAAACATTGTTCTCTTACAAATCTGCAGTCATATTTGACCTAATTAACGGTTTTTAAAACAACTATATTGTGAGCTAGAGCCACCAATTTGTTTCAGATTCTCACCAAAATGTTTGAAAATGCATGTTTGAAATTGGTGGCAATGGGCATTACAGAAAGGTTTACTAAAAAGAATATAAGTTATGCTTTTAAAAAGATTGTTTTTGTAACTAAAAAGTTATCTAATTGGAAATGGTCAGTCAGGTGTACGGCAAAAGAAGTTTTTTATATTTATGACATAGGTTTTATAGAATATAGAAAAAAAGTGCTATTTAGGCTGTAAAGAAAGAGCAATAGAGGTTGGCGAAGTAACAGTTACAAGAAAATGTCCACTGAATTCAACCAAATGTTAGGCAGTTTTCTTCTTGACACAAAGATAATTTTGGTGTACAATAAAAAAAAAAAAAAAAAAGCGCTATCCAAAAGCACATTAATTTTTTTGCTGTATGCAAGACATTTGCTGTACATCACTCAAATTTTAATAATAGTTAATAAACACACACAATCTTGTCTCCACACGATCAGACGCTTTGCAATAGCATTGGTTCCATATGATCAGAGTCCAGACACTGATTGCAAGTCCTGGCATCCCTAAGAACAGAAGAAGGTACATACAGTGGCTTTCAAGTCCCCAGAAACCCTGCACTGGTTACAATTAACAGACTCCTGACCGCCATTATAGCAGATAGTAATGCTACAGGGTGGCATGGCTTGCACAAAATCACATACATTACACACAAGATTTTGTATTTCCAGGTGTGGGGGGGGGGGGGGGAGTGCGCCGCCCTTGGCGGCTACAGCTGGTCAATCACCGGGTCCTGGCCGCATATTCCAGCTGGCACCGGCAATTGTTCGAGGAACACTGAAGAGGAGAGGTCTGTATGTAAACAATAAAAATCTCTCCCTGACACGCACCAGCATGCTGCTTTGTATTGCACTACATAGCAGAGCAATGCAAATGCAGTGTGCTTACATAGTAATCTCACACAACAGACAAAATAGTAAAAATACACACACAGTTAACCCTTTGATTAACCCCAGATGTTAACCCTTCCTGCCCAGTGGCATTAGTACAGTGTAAGTGTTTTGTTTTTTTTATTAGCACTGATCACGTGTGTTAGTGTCAGTGGGGATGTCGAGTGGCCAGCTAGTCCCACTTCCCCACAACCATATCATGTCAGAAAGTCAAATACCACACAAATATAAATATAAATAATACAAAAAATAAAACATAATATACAAAAAAAACATAACAAAAAAAATATATATAAAAACATACAATAAACACAAAAACAAAACAACCAAACCATAAAAATATACAAAAAAAATAAAAATACATAACAATAAAATATATACAAAAATACACTATAACATATACAAATAAAACAAAAAACATATACACATATACTAAAAACAAATTACAATATATAAAACTACATATAAACCATACAAAAAAAATACAAAAAAAAAAATAAAAAAACAAAAAAAAAATATATAAACACTTATTAAAAAAAAAAAAAAAATACAAAAAAAAAAAAAAACAAATAATAAAAATAAAAATAAAAAAACTTCAAACCATACAAACAAAAAAACAAAAAAAAAAATACAAAAAACCTATATAAAAATAAATACAAACACACAAAATAAATATAAAAAAAAACAAAAAAAATAAAAATACATAAACAACTTAAATTATATTTAAAACACACACTTCACACACACACACATATCCTATATTATATACAACCAGACACACACACACATTGCCATTTTAGAATCTAGAACTTTCACATAAACAATTAATCATACACGTATTGTGTGATTTTGACTTTTCTTAGCAAGGACAATGTAGTGAATACATTTTGGCCTACATTTATTGACGAAATTTGATTTTTAAAATTTTCTTTCCACTGATAGGTTTAATAGCTAAAAAAAGCAAAAATATTGGGGGTTTTTTTCCCCAAAAAACTGTCCGCTTTTTTTGTTTATAGTGCAAAGAATAAAAAAATCCACATGCAACAGGAAAAAATCAAATACCACGAAAGAAAGATCACATTGTAGGAAAAAAAAAGGCACAAATTTAATTTGAGTGCAGTATTGCATGATATGCGCAATTGTCATGTTAAAAAAAACACAGCAACGTATCAGTAAAAAAATGGCCGGTGGGGGGAAGTAAATCGCTCTGCCGAGAGGACAAGTGGTTAAAAGCTAATCGTCCACTGAGGTAAGTGTATAAGCCAATGTGATAACTACAGTCGTATAATTGATGGATGTTTGTTCCCACCTCTTCTAAGAGTATTAATACTTTAATATCAACCTTCATGACACTTCCTGGCACCAAACACTGCTTGTTCACACGGGCACTGCGATACAAAACACTTTGCCACCGGCAAACAATTTCTCTGTGCCTTTGCTCTCCTAACCTGCACAGTCAGTGTTGCTGGCCTTGATGCATTTTTTTCTTTTTTTTTGAACAGAAGCAATATGGTGTTATCACAACAGCTGCTCTGTACAAACAGGAAGTGCCTAGAGCGGCTCTGTCCTAGCTTTCATTTCTCAGTGTATTCTGGGATACAAATACCTCCTCTGCCTCTCTCCCAGCTAAACACTTTATAGATGCCTCACCAATGCAGTTACGGTGCACTACATATGAAATGTTTTGAAGGAGGCATGGTTAGCAGCGATACCTCTCCATTGAAGAATGACATGCCGTTTCATTTTTAACACACCTGTGTTACTGCACTTTGTGGTGCCCATTGCAAATATGCATGGCAGGCAGTGAAGCACAGTAATGGGCTTTAAAAATACTGCTAAAATGCTACTTAGGCACAGGGCATCGACATACATGTCAACGAGTCCTTACAAAGAAAAATAAAGACTCTTTTTCCTGGAACAAAGCAGCAAAAGAATTATTATGAAATTTTTTTTTTACAGGTGATGGTAATTTGTTTACTTTTCCTTTAGATGAAGAAAGACAAATATAGTGAATACCTGAAATGAGCATGCATTCTGCTGAAGTCACTAGTCATTTGGTCTCTGCCAAACAGGGATGATCAGAGTGTCAGGCAAAAGCAAGCTCTGGCTGACTGTCTCCTTTCAGCATTGGTAACACGACTATGGGTGCAGGGCACACGAAACTCTACAGATCAAATATTATTTGCATCGCTATAACTGGTTTTTATGACAACAGACTCTATTTTGTGGCACTGTGCAGAAATGTAGAGGTCGATCTGTTGACAGCCTAAAGATTTACTGCTGCTTAAGGGCTCTGGGTTGACTAAAATGGCAGCTTCCAGCAAAGAGGTAATAGGAGCAATGCTGGAAGAATGTACAGCACACATTAATTTTGGTAGCATAATTATTTACGTGGAACTTATGTTCCTTGCTAAAGAACATTTTTTTTTATCAAGATGTAATGAATTAAGTTCTGTTTTAAGCTTTCAGAGAAATTTGGGACTACTTTAAAGTGGTGGTAAACTCAGTTTTTTTTTCAAATCCGCTGACAGGCACAGTTTTTATAATATAAGAGACCCTAGAGGTTTCTTCTGTCATAAATGTCCCCCTGCCTGTCAGCGGGGTAATGCGATCGATGCCGCACATGCGCGGAGTGATGTCACTGCAGCCTGTCCAAACAAGCGGCCGAACATTCAAAACCCAGAAGTAGGGCCTGTTGTAAGAACAATCTATTTAGAGAACAAAGAAGATGAGCCCATGTCTGCATATTACATTCAGGCTTACTTACATTTGCTCCTTGCTGATAGCCACAATAGTGCAGTCTGATGGCCTTTCTTTGTGGTATTCATCTTCTATTTGCTGGTAGAACTTTAAATAGAGCTTCTCTCTGCGATCATCTGAATCATATTGCGTACCTACACAAAACAAACATCCCCTTCTTATATTCATTTTCAAATTCCATTAAAAATGGTAGAATTCTAGTCTCAACAGTGATAACACTGCTTATTGCCCATTTAAGACATATGCGCAACAATAATATCATGTTGGCATGGCTGAGTGGATATTTAAAACAAGGCCGTGTTTATCTAGGATCCTAGGACACCTGGTGTACAATGAAGTATTGTAGGCAAGTTACGCAAGTGTGTCATCAATAGATCAAATTTAACTTAGGAGCTACAGTTAAGTCCATATATATTTGGACACAGGTACAATTTTAGTTTTTTTTCAGGTATTTACCAAAACATATTTAAGCTATAGTTATATAATGGATATGGGCTGAAAGTACACACTCTCAGGTTTAATTTGAGGGTATGTAAATCCACATTGGAGGAAGGGTTTAGGAATTACAGCTCTTAAGATTAACCATCTCCCCTTTTTCAAGGGACCAAAAGTAATTGGACAATTGAATATAATCATAAATAAAATGTTCATATTTAATATTTTGTTGAGAATCATTTATTTGCAATGACTGCCTGAAGTCTGGAACCCATGGACATTACCAAAGACTGTGTTTCCTCCTTTCTGATGCTTTGCCAGGCTCTAACTGCAGCTGTCTTCAGTTGTTCTTTGTTTGTGGGACTTTCTGCCTTTAGTTTTGCCTTCAGCAAGTGAAATGCATGCTCAATTGGGTTGAGATCAGGTGACTGACTCGGCCATTGCAGAATATTCCACGTCTTTTCCTTCAAAAGCTCCTGGGTTGCTTTTGCAGTGTGTTTTGGATCATTGTCCATCTGTACTGTGAAGCACCATTCAATCAGCTTTGCTGCATTTGGCTGAATCTGGGCTGACAGTATATCTCTAAACACTGCAGAATTCATCCGGCTGCTTCTGTCACATCAACAATAAACACCAATGACACAGTGTCACTGGAAGCCATGCATGCCCCTGCCACCACACTGCCTCCACCATGTTTACAGATGATGTTGTGGGCTTTGGATCATGAGCTATTCCAAGCCTTTACCACACTTTTTGCTTACTGTCATTCTGGTACAGATTAATCTTTGTTTCAGCTGTCCAAAGAATGCTTTTCCAGAACTGGTCTGGATTTTTTAGATGTTTTTTGGCAAAGTCTAATCTGGTTTTTCTATTTTTCAGGCTTATGAATGGTTTGCACCTTGTGGTGAACCCTCTTGTGATTTCTCTCGTGAAGTGTTTTCTTGATTGTAGACTTTGACAATGATATGCCCACCACCTGGAGACTGTCCTGCACTTGTCTGGATGTTGTGAATGGGGTTTTCTTTACCATAGTAAGGATCCTGCGATCATCCACCACTGTTGTCCTCCTTGGATGTCCATGCCTTTTTATGTTGCTGAGCTCACCAGTGCATTCTTCTTTCCTCAGAATGTACCAAACTGTTCATTTGGCTACTCCTAATATTGCTGCTATCTCTCTAATGGATTTTAGTTTTTGAAGCCTCACAATGGCCTGTTTCACTTGCATGGATAACTCCTTTGAACGCATGATGTAGGTTCACAGCAATAGATTTCAAATGCAAATACCACACTTAGAATCAACTCCAGACATTTTACCTGTTTAATTGATGAAGAAATAATTAAGGCATAGCCCATACCTAGCCATGAAACAGCTTTTGATTCAATTGTCCAATTAATTTTGGTTCCCTGAAAAAAGGGGATGGCTACTCTTAAGAGCTGTAATTCCTAAACCCTTCCTCCAATTTGGATGTACATACCCTAAAATTCAACCAGAGTGTGTGCACGTTCAGCCCATATCCATTATATAACTATAGCTTGAATATATTTTGGTAAATATCTGGAAAAAAAAACTAAAATTGTGTCTAAATATATATGGACCTAACTGTATATGCCAAATAGAGTATAATTCAACATCTTTCTAGAAGGTGGTAAATAGAACAAAGCTCCACCACATGTGAATAAGTGTCATTTAGTGTTGCAGGCCCAGAAACATGAGTGTAAAATAGAGGGGTTAAATCTGTGCACTAGATAATGGCATCACTGGAGACTTCTAAAACTAAGCTGGGGAGGGGGGTACTTTTGAGTATGCTATAAGAGAACTGGAGAATGTTACATCCATGGGCCTTGCCATTCTTCTCAAGTTTAAAAATATGAGATCTTTGATCCAAAAAAAACAATGAAAGCATAAGGATAAGTTCCTGGAGGGATGTCTCAGTAGGTTTAAAAAAAAAAAAAAAAAAAGGGTTGTTGTGATATTGAAGAGTAGGGAATATGTGCTTTTAGTGATATAAGGAGAACATAAAAGACTTAAGCTGGGTATACACAAGTAGAATTTCACATAAACATTTGTACAAAAAAAAATTTTTTTACGAAAAATCTCAGAACACTCGAATGTCATTTGAAAGTGATTTCAAGATTGTTTGTTTTTAACATTCCATTTTGGCGTGAATTTTTTTTTACTGAAACAAAAAAAAAAAACAACAACACACAGTTAGAAATGTGTGCATTACACTGTTAGAAATTTGTACAATTGAGAAAAATTTTCCATCCTGCTCCTTCAAATCTTCTCATCACTGCAGCCAAAAACGAACGTCCATTTAAACCCACTAATGATTACAAAGAAAAATGAACAAATGTCCTTCCAACTAAAAATTAACAAAATTCTGAGTGTATACCCAGTTTGTTTTTTTTTGTTTTTTGTTTAGTTTAATTTGACAGAAAGTATGGTGATGTACATTGGCCCAATTTGTGTGGAAAAGGGGTAGAAATGCAAAAGCACAGACTCAAGAGAAGTAGATCTTAATATTGACTTGTAATATACTGCAATAGGGCAAATACTTGTTAAAGATAGCAGAAAGAAGGCTCTAAAATGAGTTGCGCTTTGCAACAGAAAGCTCTAGTTCCAAGTGTCAATGTACTTAAAACCCTAAGCACGTTAAAACTGGGATTCAGTGCCCTGTAAAAGATACGGGGAGCACAATAATTCAGCTCAAACTTGTTAACAAAAAAAAGGTAACATCAAATAGAGAGGAACTTGATGGATGTAATTAGCAGTTGATGTAATGAATCTGCAGTTCAGTCAAATAACTTCATTATATAAGTGTGTACCATTTTAAAATCTGTAGAACTAGAAACACTAAAACATCATGTATATATCCTAGTACACCAATAAATGTAAAAGTTGCATGATGTTATAGGTTTTACCTGCCATTGTGTTAATACAAAATGTTATGAAAAAAAAAAACAAACAAACACACAAGATGTATACTGTATTGTTCACTTACTGTTTTGAGAGTACTGGTACCTCTCACAGTATTCCTCGGGCCCAGCAGTATAATTATGTTTTTTCCCAAACAGTTCTTCGAAGCTGTTAAAAGAATGTAATGTAAATAGTGTTTATTCACAGAGCAACTGAGGTACAGTACTCTTGCCAGGAGTCTGACTTTAGACTCTTTTTTTTTTTAGGATGATAGCATTCGGAACCTATGTCCATAAGTGAAGTGAGAAGTGAATACAAACATTTCTCAGAGCCATACATAATCTACTAGGTTTGCATGCTTGATAAAGAGACCCTGTCACCAATTACGAAAATGCAGGAAAAAGTCAGATCAGATCAGTAATTTTAAAATGCTTACTTGAAGCATTTCTACAAATTTTTATTAAATTTGCAGTATGCCTGTGAACTTGCTAGAAATTTTGAGTGGTCAGTTTATTAGCACAGCCCGTCTCCCTGCATACTAGGGATTCACCGAAATTTCGGCAGCCGAAACATATCAGCATTTTGCTGATAGGAAAAAGGCATCTCAGATTTTTATGCAAAAAAATGCCCCCTACTAGTGACTTCCATGCAAAATCGCATCCCCATTAACTTCAAAGCAAAAATGAACCCAAGTGACTTCAATGCAAAATTGACAACCACATTAATTAAAATTAAAAAAACACAAACTTTTTTAAATAGTTTGTTTTGGTTTTCGGCCAAGTGCATCCGGAATTTACGTTTTTCATACCAGAATTTACATTTCGGTGCACCACTACTGCATACGATATCCCTCCTCTCTTCTGGCAGTGTCCAATTATCTGTGCAGGCAGCTTCTTTGCACCTTTCTACATAACCATTTCTATAGCTGCCAACGGAGAAGCAAAGGGGTATACTATAAAGCTCACAGCCTGCTAAGGCTGCTGACATCACGTCCAAGATGACGGCATTCAGCAGGAGTTTCAGGGGTTTTGACTTTCTACACACAAAATGCTAACACAGAAATACCATGCCTAAGATACGTTAAAAACACATGTAATCATATAAAACACACAACACAATGAGCTTATCTGTTGTTCAGTGCAATATCAGAACATTATTTGCAATTTGGTTGAGGGTGCCACTAGTAAATAATAGGTCCCATAAACATTTTAATAACCTTGATAAAACATAGGTAGAATAGGTACAGCCAAGTTGCTGGTGGAGATGAACAGAAATTCTGGGCAACAACACGGACTCGGCCAGAAGAAAGAAGCATTAAGGCCTGGTTCATACCAATGCGTTTTTTTAATTGCTTTTTGCAGAAACGCACTAGTGTCCATTTAATATTGTTTCCTATGGGACATGTTCACATCTATGCATTTTTTCAGCCACTGTATTTTTGTAAAGGGTCAGGAACTTTTTTAATGCAAAAAGCAGCGTTTTTGCTACAATAGAGTTTAATGGAGACAAAGCTAAAGTGCATGTAGTGCGTTTAATGCGGCATTTTTCATTTTTATTCTGCCCAGCTAAAAAAAAAAAAAAAAAAAAAAAAAAAAAAAAAAAAAAAAAAAAAAAAAGACAAAATGCAGCACAAATGCATGTGTTAAAACTCAGAGCAAAACGCAAAAAAAGTATTGCAAAAACGGATCAAAAGCAAACTCCATTGATGTGAATCAGGCCTAATAGACAAAACATCTTATAGTGAAACTGTGGGAATTGAACTCTAATCTTACATGCAGTTCCAGTATTCCTAACACATCAGAATTCACTGGAAGCATGCTTGTTGTAAATCAGTGTCTTTCTAGGCAACAAAAGCAAGGATTATGTAAAGTAAACAAAAAAAAAAAAAAAAGGATCGCCATACTAACACAAGCAATATTAGTGTAGTGATCAACCCCCCCACCATATCACAATGATCAGCGCTGGTACACATTGGCTTGCAGCACTGATCAGATGCTGGTTTTCTAGCATGGCTGTTTGACAGAAGCTAGTTGTAAGACCAGCTTCTGCATAAAAGACAGCTGTGTGTACCTGGCTTTGGAATAGCCTTGGAGCACTCATCTTTCAAAACAAGTCAACAATGCATGCTCTGTGCAAAAATTCATGTCTTGTTTGCATTTCACCAGCTGTGATTTGCAAGGAATTGTTCCAAGCTTTAAGTTTGTAGGGGGAAAAAAAAATAGAAGCTCACAATCTCTCAGCTAACAAGGTTTTTTTTGTGTGTTATGAAAAAGAACAGCTCTCATAAAAATTAAAAGCCTTACCTGCTCTGATCTTCCACATCTCGGGGATACAACTCAGAGAATGAGATTTTTTGGCTGGGCTTGTATGGATTAATGCTAGGAAGGAAAAACAAAATGTTTTACCTAATCCAACAAGGCTGCCTGCAAACAATTCTGAAACTTTAACACTCCTCCATCCTACTTAAGAAATCATCTGGTTGTGCCTGTTTTTACACTATAGTACCACTGCTGGTGGCCAAAAATGCAAAGCTTGGGTGGTAGATTATCTCATGTAAATGTGTATTTTACTGCAATCAGTAATATGTAACGTGTTTAATAAAAGCAAAACAGTTTTTGACCTCAATATAAACATCTAACTTGTGGAGTGACATAGCAAGTCATCAATATTTGCCCTTAAAATTTTCCCAAAATGGTAGCAACAGTAGGCACAGCTAGCCAGCCCTGAATTTTCTTTGACGGATTCAAAAATATTCACAGGAGTCAATCAGTCCACGACTCCTTTATAAAAGGAAACCCTCCGAATATGCTAGAGAAGTAGATGTCATGCTGATCCACTGACTGACCCAGAATAAATATGAAGATAAGGTCTTCTGATGTTTTAACTTTCCTTATTTCAGCCAAGACAAAGCAATGAAGCCAGTGAATCAGAAAAACAGCCACACAACTATCATTTTTCCAAAGGCAAAAGAGCCACAGCACCCCGATATTACTCAGGATTTTAATTTTTTTTCTCCCACAGAGCAATAAAACACGTACTTTTACTAACAAAAAAGAACAGACTTTAATCGGTTGCCATCCACCTTTTAGCAGAAATCACACATGCGCACACACACACTGCAGTGTTAGCAGGATCAGCCCCGACACCTGCCAGCACGTTTTAGCCCCTACGCCTAAAGCCCCCTCCCCCCCACCCTTCTTCCCCAGCAAGTGCAGTGTCAGTAGATCACGGTCACTTAATACATTGCACACAAAACTGAAGGGTTAGCAAGATCAGGCCTGATCTCTGCTTTCACTAGCAGGTACATTATTTTGTAGCGGTTCAAGCAGTCTGACAACCAGGTGCTCTTTTTCCCATCAGTCGCACTATTCAGCTATAAATTTAGTGGCCAAAATGTCCAACAAAAAGGTACACTAGTGAAGAGGCCTACAGGATTCGGAGTATGTCAGATGAGAGTAAAGGGGAAGCCTCACTGACAGAATCTGGCCAAGAATACAAGCCTATAGATAGCAGCAGCACCCAGACAGATAGGTCAGACGATGAAGTAGAAGTCCCTGCTAAGGTCAGGTGTACCCAACCATGTTCCCAGATTGCTGAGATGTTAGAATTGCATGACGATTCTCATATGCAGCAGAGTGCCAGTACTAGTTCCGCTCTACCTTTTGGTGAGCTGGCAAGCACCACCAGTGGCCTAGTACATCCTGGTCTTTTACAAGCAGTAGGAACTTTCCAAAAAGGGGTCATCGGGAGGGGGAGTTTGGTGCTATCCTGGCATTTCAGGGGCTCAGAGACTGTGATATGTAGTGACGAAGTGAAATGAGGAAGTTACACACCTTCAGGCTTTCAAAGTGGTCATTGGATGTCGTGTTCCTGCATGTGGCTAGGCTCCCAAAAAGTCTCACACATGTGGTATCCCCATACTCGGTAGGTAGATGTAGCAGAATGCATTTTGGGATGTAATTGCACACATACCCATGGCATGTGTGAGCAATATATAAAATTTAAGTGAACTTTGACAACTTTGTATGAAAAAAAAAAAATATATTTTTTCTATCAAAAACTTTTGGTAAAAAATAAAGCATTCCATTGACTCGACATGCCTCTCAGCAAATAGCCTGGAGTGTCTACTTTCCAAAAAGGGGTCATTTGTGGGGGGGGGGGGGGGGGGGGGTTGAGGGATATTGTGTTATTCTGGAATTTCAGAGTCTCTGAAACTGCAATAGGTAGTAAGGAAGTGAAATGAGGAATTTACGCACCATCAGGCTTTCAAGGGGTTATAGGATTTCAGCTCCTGTATGTGGCTAGGCTCCCAAAACATCTCCTACAGGTGGTATTCCCATACTTAGAAGTAGCAAAATATATGTTGGGGTGTAATTCCACATATACCCATGGCATGTGTGAGCAGTATACCATTTAAAATGACAACTTGGTGAAAAAAAAAAATAAATAAAACTTTGTCATTTTCCAAAAAAATTAAATTGCCCATGGACTCAACATGCCTCTCACCAGATAGCTTAGCTTAGGGCAGGGGGTCTCCAAACTTTTTAAACAAAAGGGCCAGTTTACTTACTGCCCTATCTTTAGAGGGGCCAGACTAGCCAGTGTGGGAGTAGAAAATGCCATGGGCTTAATTTACTAAATGGGGGTAAGTTTTTATTTTTTTTTTTACATAATTGGTGTCAGTGGAAGGACCGGTAACCCAGCACTGGTGTCAGTGGAAGGACCGGTAACCCAGCACTGGTGTCAGTGGAAGGACCGGTAACCCAGCACTGGTGTCAGTGGAAGGACCGGTAACCCAGCACTGGTGTCAGTGGAAGGACCGGTAACCCAGCACTGGTGTCAGTGGAAGGACCGGTAACCCAGCACTGGTGTCAGTGGAAGGACCGGTAACCCAGCACTGGTGTCAGTGGAAGGACCGGAACCGGTGTCAGTAACCCAGCACTGGTGTCAGTGGAAGGACCGGTAACCCAGCACTGGTGTCAGTGGAAGGACCGGTAACCCAGCACTGGTGTCAGTGGAAGGACCGGTAACCCAGCACTGGTGTCAGTGGAAGGACCGGTAACCCAGCACTGGTGTCAGTGGAAGGACCGGTAACCCAGCACTGGTGTCAGTGGAAGGACCGGTAACCCAGCACTGGTGTCAGTGGAAGGACCGGTAACCCAGCACTGGTGTCAGTGGAAGGACCGGTAACCCAGCACTGGTGTCAGTGGAAGGACCGGTAACCCAGCACTGGTGTCAGTGGAAGGACCGGTAACCCAGCACTGGTGTCAGTGGAAGGACCGGTAACCCAGCACTGGTGTCAGTGGAAGGACCGGTAACCCAGCACTGGTGTCAGTGGAAGGACCGGTAAGGACCGGTAACCCACCCAGCACTGGTGCCAGTGGAAGGACCGGTAACCCAGCACTGGTGCCAGTGGAAGGACCGGTAACCCAGCACTGGTGCCAGTGGAAGGACCGGTAACCCAGCACTGGTGCCAGTGGAAGGACCGGTAACCCAGCACTGGTGCCAGTGGAAGGACCGGTAACCCAGCACTGGTGCCAGTGGAAGGACCGGTAACCCAGCACTGGTGCCAGTGGAAGGAATAGTGCCTTGTATCAGTGGAGTGCCCTAAGGACCAGATAAAAGCAAGCAAAGCAAACTCGATGGGCTTGGTTTACTAAATGGGGGTAAAAAAAATAAATATGTACATAATTGGTGTCATTGGGAGGAATGGTGCCCCATGACTGGTGTCATTGGGAGGAATGGTGCCCCATGACTGGTGTCATTGGGAGGAATGGTGCCCCACCATTGAGGTCCCAGTGGGAAGAATATTTCCCTGTCTTTGGTGTCAGTGGAAAGGATAGTGCCCCATATTCAGTGGAGTGGCCCAAGGGCCAGATAAAAACAAGCAAAGGGCCACATCCAGCCCGCAGTTTGGTGACGCCTGGCGTAGGGTGTCTACTTTACAAAAAGGGGTCCTTTGGTAGTGTTTGTACTGCCCTGGCATTTTAGTACCTCAAGAAATGTGATGGGCAGTCCGAAAATAAACGCTGTGTAAATTCCACTATCTATAAAACATAGTTTGTAGATGCTATATAAAAAAAAAAAAAAAAAAAAAAAAAAAAAAACCACACACACACAAACCAATGAATATACAGTTGCAAGAAAAAGTATGTGAACCCCTGGGGATTACGTGGAGTTTGCATGAATTAGGCATAAACTGTGCTCTGAACGTCATCTAAGTCACAACAATAGAACAGTCTGCTGAACGTAATACTACACAAACATTAGATGTTGCCATGGTTTAATTGCACATAACATGTAAACATTCACAGTGCAGGGAGGAAAAAGTATGTGAAACCTTTGGACTTAATAACTGGTTGACCCTCCATTGGCAGCAATAACCTCAACCAATCGTTTCCTGTAGTTGCAGATCAGACCTGCACAACGATCTGGAGTAATTTTGGACCACTCCTCTTCACAAAACTGTTTCAGTGTAGCAATATTCTTGGGATGTCTGGTGTGAATCGCTCTCTTAAGGTCATGCCACAGCATTTCAATCGGGTTGAGGTCAGGACTCTGACTGGCCTACTCCAGAAGGCGTATTCTGTGCTGTTGCAGCTATTGTTTTGTTGAATTACTTGTATGCTTTGGGTCATTGTCCTGTTGCATCACCCATCCTCTGCGGAGCTTCAGTTGGCGGACAGATGGTCGTACGTTTTCCTGCAAAATGTCTTGATAAACTCTGGAATTCATTTTCACATCAATGACAACAATCCGTCCAGGCCCTGAGGCAGCAAAGCAGCCCCAAACCATGATGCTCCCTCCGCCATGTTTTACAGTGGGGATGAGGTTTTGATGTTGGTGTGCTGTGCTTTTTTTCCTCCACACAGTGTTGTGTGTTCTTCCCAAACAACTCAATCTTGGTTTCATCTGTCCACAGTATGTTTTGCCAGTAGTGCTGTGGAACATCCAGGTGCTCTTTTGCAAACTTCAAACGTGCTGCAATATTCTTTTTGGACAGCAATGGCTTCCTCCGTGGTGTCCTCCCATGTACTCCCTTCTTGTTTAATGTTTTCCTTATTGTAGATGTATCAACAAAAATGTTAGCATGTGCCAAAGATTTCTGTAGGTCTTTAGCTGACACTCTGGGATTCTTCTTTACCTCATGCAGCATTCTGCGCTGTGCTCTTGCAGTCATTTTTACAGGACGACCACGCCTAGGGAGAGTAGCAACAGTGCTAAACTTTCTCCATTTGTAGATAGTCTGTCTTACCGTGGACACATGAACATCAAGGCTTTTGGAGATACTTTTGTAACCCTTTCCAGCTTCATGCAAGTCAACAATTCTTGATCGTAGGTCTTCTGAGAGCTCTTTTCTGCGAGGCATGGTTCACATCAGACAGTGCTTCTTGAAACCAGTAAACCCAAAACAGGTGTGTGTTTTGTAAGGGCAGGACAGCTGTCAGCAACACATCCAATATCATCACACTGATTGGAGTCAAGGTTGGCTCACTCCTGGCTCCAATTAGCTCTGGGAGAAGTCATTAAGCTAGGGCCTCACATACTTTTTCCTCCCTGCACTGTGAATGTTTACATGTTATGTGCAATTAAACCATGGCAACATCTTATGTTTGTGTAGTATTATGTTCATCAGACTGTGTTCTTCTATTGTTGTGACTTAGATGACGTTCAGAGCACATTTTATGCCCAATTCATGCAAAACTCCACGTAATCCCAAGGGGTTCACATACTTTTTCTTGCAACTGTACAGTTATTGGGATATTTTTTTTAATCAAAGACATGTAGCAAAAATAGATTTTGGCCTAAAGTTATGACAAAATTTTAGTTTATGGATATTTTTATAAACAGCAATGAGAAAATATCGCTTTTTTTCAAACTTTTTCATATTTTTGTTTACAGCACAAAAAATAACAAAAACCCAGAGGTGATTAAATACCACCAAAAGAAAGCTTGTGTGAAAAAAAAGACAAATTTTGTATGGGTACAGTATTGCATGACTGCGCAATTACCCGTTGAAATAGTACAGCACAGAATAGAAAAAAAAATGGCCTAGTCAGGAAAGTGGGTAAATCCTCTGAAGGGAAGGGCAAGTGGTTAAAAACTAGGTGGGGGCTTGAATTTTCATGATACTGGACTTCTATAACAACGGATTCAGTACCTGACTTCAACAATTTTAAAAACACAAAAACACAGAAGTCAATATGTTACAAGACAAAAGAAAAAGTAAAATAACTTACTCCAGAAGGCGAGGAATTCCGCTTGGTTTCCTGATAAAGAAAAAAAAGATACAATCAGCTAAAAGCAAACATTTCACAAGCGTATTATAAGGCCCCCATTCATACTTCACATCGTTGTGTTTGACATCGTTGTCAGAAGTGTGTGTTTCTGCCGTGCCATAAAACGCCCTTGCATTATTTGCGAATGGCACCCAAACCTTCCTTCTTGGAAATTTAAGTGGTGCAAAGGCACTGTATGTGAGCCAGAATATAGACATAAACTAGACTTATGGCAGATCACCAAGTATTTTTCTGTACTTTGAAGGGATAAATCATGGCAACATGTGTATGTATTGCAGAGATGTATGGAATTTTTTTTGCCCAAACTTTTAAAGAACTCATTCTGGTAGTAGAATAATTCTGTGAGTCACAGCTTTAAGTTATACAGGTGAAACTCGAAAAATTAGAATATCGTGCAAAAGTTCATTTCAGTAATGCAACCTAAAAGGTGAAACTAATATACGAGATAGACTCATTACATGCAAAGCAAGATAGTTCAAGCCGTGATTTGTCATAATTGTGATGATTATGGCTTACAGCTCATGAAACTCCCAAATCCACAATCTCAGGAAATTAAAATACTGTGAAAAGGTGCAATATTTTAGGCTCAAAGTGTCCCACTCTAATAAGCTAATTAAGCCATAACACCTGCAAAGGGTTCCTGAGCCTTTAAATGGTCTCTCAGTCTGGTTCAGTAGGAATCACAATCATGGGAAAGACTGTTGACCTGACAGTTGTGCAGAAAACCATCATTGACACTCTCCATAAGGAGGGAAAGCCTCCAAAGGTCATTGCAAAAGAAGTTGGATGTTCCCAAAGTGCTGTATCAAAGCACATTAATAGAAAGTTATGTGGAAGGGAAAAGTGTGGAAGAAAAAGGTGCACAAGCAGCAGGGATGACCGCAGCCTGGAGAGGATTGCCAGGAAAAGGCCATTCAAAAGTGTTGGGGACATTCACAAGGAGCGGACTGAGGCTGGAGTGCATCAAGAGCCACCACACACAGATGGATCCTGGACATGGGCTTCAATTGTCGTATTCCTCTTGTCAAGCCACTCCTGAACAACAAACAATGTCAGAAGCGTCTTACCTGGGCTAAAGAAAAACAGACCTTGTCTGTTGCTCAGTGGTCCAAAGTCCTCTTTTCTGATGAGAGCAACTTTTGCATCTCATTTGGAAACCAAGGACCCAGAGTATGGAGGAAGAATGGAGAGGCACACACTGCAAGATGCTTGAAGTCCAGCGTGAAGTTTCCACATGCTTATACTTTTCAGAGGTCTGACATTGTTCTATAAATCCTTGTTTTATTGATTGCATGTAATATTCTAATTTTCTGAGATTGTGGATTTGGGGTTTTCATGAGCTGTAAGCCATAATCATCACAATTATGACAAATCACGGCTTGAACTATCTTGCTTTGCATGTAATGAGTCTATCCCATATATTAGTTTCACCTTTTAGGTTGCATTACTGAAATAAATGAACTTTTGCATGATATTATTATTTTTCGAGTTTCACCTGTAAGTACTATAAACTATACGTTTTGGCTAACATTCTACAGAAGACAAACTCATTTAAAATGTTCATACATACAGCGGGTAAAATAAGTATTGAATAAGTCACCATATTTCCTCCGTAAATGTATTTCTAAAGGTGCTATTGACATAAAATTTTCACCACGTCAGTAACACATGCAATCCATACATACAAAGAAGCCAAAATAAATATGTTCAGAAACTAAGTTATGTGTAATAAAATGGAATGATACAGGGAAAAAAAAATATTGAACACAAAGAAAGGGAGGTGCCAAAAGGCATGGAAAGCCAAGACACCAGCTGAAATATATCAGTAATTAAAAAGCAATCCTGCCCCTTGTCAATGCAAATTAATATCAGCTGGATCAGTCTCAACTGACAGCCTATAAAAAGGTGTCTCATTACCAAGGTGTCACAAGAGAAATATCTCACGATGGATAAAAGCAAAGAGTTCTCTCAAGACCTTCACAACCTTATTGTTGCGAAACATATTGATGGTATTAGTTACAGAAGGATTTCTAAACTTCTAAATGTTCCAGTGAGCACTGTTGCGGCCATAATCCAGAAGTAGAAAGAACATCATTCCACCATAAACCGACCAAAACCAGGTGCTCTTCGCAAGATTTTTGACAGAGGAGTGAAAAGAATTATCAGAAGAGTTGTCCAAGAGCCAAGGTGCACTTGTGGAGAGCTTCAGAAAGACCTTGAATTAGCAGGTTCAATTGTTTCAAAGAAAACAATAAAGTAATGCACTCATGGCCCATATGCACACTCACCATGCAAGACTCCACTGCTTAAGAAAAAGCATGTTGCAGCTCGTTTAAAGTTTGCTGCACAACATTTAGACAAGCCTGTGAAAAACTGGGAGAATATAGTCTGGTCAGATGAGACCAAAACTGAACTCTTTGGATGCCATAATACACACCACATTTTGGACGTCAAATGAAACTGCACATCACCCCAAAAACACACATACCAACAGTGATGGAGGTGGGAACATCATGGTGTGGGGCTGCTTTTCAGCATACGGTACTGGCAAACCTCATATCATTGAAGGGAGGTTGAATGGAATAATGTACCAAGACATTCTTGATAAAAATGTTCTGCCATCTACCAGGATGATGAAGATCACACGAGGGTGGACATTTCAGCAAGACAATGATCCCAAACACAAAGCCAATGAAACTCAATTTGTTTCAAAGAAAGAAAATAAGGCTGCTAGAATGACCCAAAAAAAGCCAATCACCTGACTTGAATCCAATAGAAAATCTAATGGAAGGAACTAAAAATCAGAGTTCATAGAACAGGCCCATGGAACCTTGAAGATTTGAAGACTGTTTGTGTGGAAGAATGGCTCAAATCATACCTTAGCAATGCATGTGACTAGTTTTTTCCATATTTGTATGTATGGATTGCATGGGTTGTTACTGACATGGTGAAAATTTCATGTCACTAGTACCTTTATAAATATATTTACTGAGAAAAATGGCGACGTGTTCAATACTTATTTTACCCGCTGTATATAACTGCCACATGAATACCATATAACCACAATATTTTTAAATGATGCCCTTCTACATAGTAACTAGTCAACATTGGCTTGGTAATATTGATGGCACACCATGGCTAGCAACACTCCAAACTATGGTCTCTCTCAGGTTGTGCTGCAAACCTGGCATGCTATGGATGTGTATTGCAGAACCAATGTTTCTGAGTCATGTAAAGAGGTTTGTATAGTAGATCTATTCATTTATCAAATTATTTTTTTTCTCTGCAGTTTCCTCCTTGATATTTCACATAAAATGGCGTAAAAGAACATGCACTGTCCCTATATGGCACACAAGGTCAATTATCGTACATGTCCAGATGTTACAGACACAAGTAGGAGACACTAGCCTCTCCTATGAACAAAAAAAAATGCTAGCTATGTAGAACAAAATAGAATATCATTATACGTGCTAGGCTATGAATTAATATAGCTTGAGACAGTCAGAAAAACCACACTGTACAGGGATAAATTGGTTATGTCGAAGGGTAGGTTTCCATGGAGCCTGAAGTGTGTGAAGCCATAGGCATTGTGGTTACTATGACAACGTCTCCGGGGAGCTTCTATTCAAAAAGAATTCCTACTGGAGCTGTGCAAATGGTCCCCCCCCCCACCCCCAATACGTTCTCTGGTGGGGGGAGGGATTCAAAGATAGTGATAAAGACTCCTAATGCAAGACCGATATAAAAACAGATGTACACATGATGTAAGAAATATCATCTAAGCTTCTTGAAGATGTATTTAAGGCACTGGATACATGATTGCCAGCATTAAAGCATTCCATATCTGAAGCTAGGGGTGAAGAAATAGTACAATTTGTAATAATCACCGACTTAAATACTTAGCATGGTGGAAATCCACAGCAACAGGCAAAGGAAAAAAAATGAACATAGTTACAGGCTGTTCTGTAGAGCTCTGTTCTGCCATGCTTGCAAATAAGCATTTAAATGACTTGGAAATGATGTAAAAATATAGGCAGTAAATCTAAAAGTTTCTTTTTAGAAATACAATACCTGTTTATAACACTTCATGAACTAATACAGAAAAATCTGTCAAAAAACAGTAGCAGGGATTGGTTTAGGTGAAATCTTGTGCTTCAGCACATTCATATTATGGCCCTTTTAGGAGAATGCTTACATCAGTATAAACATCCATCAGCCTATTTCCAAGGGGAGTTTTTTTTCTCCTTTTAAGGCTCATGTACACGTGGCATTTGGAAAACTCTTCTGAATGATGGAAAATGACTGCTGGAAAACGAAGGTTAAAAAAACGTCAGTTTAGGCACGTTTGCATACCGCATTTAGAAGCGTTTTTAAACGATAACTTCAAGAGACATTCCCAAATGCCCAGAATGCACAGACAAATAGTAAAAAATTAACTATTTCAGACATTTTGAGAGGAATAGAGAGAGCAGTATGTGTTGAGATTACCTGTCTTTCCTGGTTGTATTCACTATGGATCCCATCATGAGCATAATGCAGCACATGCTAACATTTTTTCCTTCACACGAAACCTGGAACTGACTACGCTGGTGTACTGGGTCCATTTAAATACATGAAAAAAACACTTTGCATGCATTTCTGATGATGAAAAAAGGCTCTGGACAGCATCTGGACATGGAACAGTTAAACGCTTCTAAACGCAAATGCATATATACACTGTTAACCATGTTTACAAGCATTTGGCACGCCGGTAAAATTACTCCTGAATGCAAGTTTGGTGCATTAAAAGAAAAGACTGTAAACTCAACTGCCTGTAAACGACTGTGTACATGGACATATAGAAAAACATTAAGGAGAGTTCAGGGGCTGCTGAAAAAAAATGCTGAACAGCTCCTGAACGTCAGTTTAGGAGCTGCAGTATACATGAGCCCTTACTGATAAGATATTAGGCCTATAGGAAATCTGAATATTTTCAGCATAGAACATACCTAAAAGAAACCCTTCTACCTAAGGCTGGCCATATATGCTCAGGTTTTCTGTCTTTGCCAACAAGCTGAAGGAAAAACACTAAGGATTCCCCCATCCACACATTCGATGTGGATGGAGAAATCCTCCACGCTATGGAACTGTGTTCTGACAGTGGGACTCCCCGAACATCAGAGCACACCAGTCAGCGTTGGAAATTAAATGGAAATTTTCCAGCAGGACCATTCATGAGAAACAAGCTTGATAGATCAACTTCTTAAGAGCAGGAATAGCCGTTTGATCCATGTATGGTAAGCTTAAATTAGACAGGTACATGCAAATTAGTATAAAGATATTTTTTTTTTCCCTTTCTATACATTTTTATTTTCACACTTAAAAAGAAAAGTATAAAATATATATTTACATAGGTGGATGGGTTTTTTTTTTCTGTTTCCAGGAACGACCACCCAAATGAGTTTTCATTCAAAACAAGAGGTCTTGATCAGGCAAAAAATCCACACTATGATGGATGAGCATAAAATACTAAGTGGCTGCTTAACAGATATACTCTATTGTGGTTCTTATACTCTTCACCCACAACAAAGAAGAAGTGTACCTAGTGGATTGCAACCTGGTATTCTCTTCTTCTGGATTACCCAAAGATATAAATGCCTGAAAATTTGAAGAGGACTCCACCTGGGTAACAAGATCTTTGTTCTGTTATTTTCTTAGAATAATCAAGTGATCTAAGATGATCTCTTCCTGGTACTCATTTAAGAAATTTTGAATAACGAAAGACTATAAAATGTAGTCTCCTTGCCATTAGACATTACCCAAGATGACTCTGGACCTGAAGCATGGTAAGATATGCTTCTTTAGAAGAGGCAACGTTAAAGTCAGTCTTGAGTTAACCATTTAAAGAATGAACATAAGTCCTTCGGGATTTCTATTGGAAGGGATAGTTTCATCTGCCACGTAGTCTGAAGTTGTGCAAAAAAGGACACCGGTCCTTGTTTTCTTAGCATAGGGACACTGATGTAAACCTGGAAATGCTCTGTATGGAAATGTTCTAGTGCTGGGTGGAAGAACATAGACGCAATTGATCACATTCAGACAACTCTGTACATGAGGACATGTACTACCAGCAGACAGCGGATCATGAAGTGTAAGGTCTTGGAAATGAAGGCACCGAGAGGCATTTCATACATGTTGTACATTTCATGCATGACTGGTCTGGCATACGACATTAATGCAAGTTCATTCTTGTTGAGGTTACATAAGCTTGACCAAAAGCTGACCATGAATGTTACAGTGTTGACAGTGAGTTAAAAAGCTCCAAAAGGATGGCTGTTAGGAACCCTACAATACGGAGTCACCAGTTTTAGTCAAATAATATATTTATGCTACAAGCATAAGGGGCAGCCTATTCATTTCAATGGGCTGCCCAACACACAAAAAACACAATAAAGCAGCTCATGAACCTTTTTGCGTGTTGAGCATCCTGCATTTTAACAGGCATCTGCTTGCCACATTTGGGATGCCATTAACAATGAATGGCACTGCAAGTGTTCTCCACGTGTTCATGAAATGCTCAGGTGTGAACACCGCTTTAACGGCCCTTCACTCCCCAACCATGCTCAAGCTGCAAGAAAAGCGGATGAAAGATTTCACAAGACTGATCTAAAACAGATTTGATAGGGCATGGCGCCTGCCACAGCAATGCATCGCAAGCTCTTTTTAATCCTGGAAGTGCCAAGTATTTCACAAGCTGGGAAGTGAAAAGAATAAAAGTGGAGCAGGGGGATGGGGTAAAAAAAATTAGATAAGCCTGTTGCTTTGCCCTGTATGAGCAAAAAAAGAAATTCCCTTTTAGCTGTGACACATAAAACGGGAACTAGCAGGTTGCCATTTAAGGTTTTGCTGATGAAAATATCTGGCATCAATGTCAAATGCTGAAGATATGCCATATTCCCAACAGATAACAAATGTCCTCTACGGTGCTTTCCCAAAGATCACTTTAGCCCACATGGTACATCCAAGGCAAATGCAGTCTTTAAAAATTAAAAAAAAAATAATAATTTTAGGACAAACAAAAAACTGAATACACACACACACACACACACTGAAGACACTAAAAAAACCCTTCAAAAAAAAAAAAAAAAAACACTGGCAGAAGGTGCCATATAAATAGTTTTCTCATCTGCTCTGAAAACAGCTACTGCCACGAGATATGAAGCACTCTTTTAACATACCCTGCCAATTGACAGCTCCTATCTTAGAATGCATCATCCACACTACCATCCTTGCCTTTCTACCTGCACATAAACAAAGTAAAGCCAACTGACACATTGTGATTTGTGAGCACTGGCTGCTGGTATGCAGTTAAACTTTGTGGTCATGGCTATGAATAATAGTTGCTGATTGAGGACCAGTTTACAGTATTTGCGTTTCAGTTGCTTTTTTTCTGCATCCAAAATGCACAGAAAGTAGGTTAAATGGTTGTCAATGTCATAGTTCACCTCAGTGCTTGCAGTTCCAGTGCGTTCCAGTTGCAGGAAAAAAAAAAAAAAAAAAAAAGTAGAACATGCTGCATTTTTTCTGCACAGAACTGTACTGGAACACAGCAAAGAGCATCAAAAATGCACTGGAACGACATGTCCCTATTTAAATTAAAGAAAAAGAGAGCGGAAAAAATGAACTGGAATGCATTTAAAAAAAAAAAAAAAAAAACACCACACACAGGAACGTGTCAAATATGCTACAAAAATGTGCATGCAAAACCGCATACAGAACACCACTGTTTAAGTTGGGGGAAGACAGGTGCAAGTATCCGGAAGCTAAACTTTGGAGTCCTGAATAGAAATAGTGTGGACCTTAATCACACCAACAACTACGTCCAGCGTAAGAAGGCAGATATCAGTCAGTTACGGGTGGAGTACTCAAAAAACTGTTTCCAGAGAGTAGGGTATTAAATATTCAAGCAAAGTCCAGCAGCATCAGAAAAGAAAACTCACAGATCTTTCTACGACTTGGGAGAGCTGCCAGTTTCAGAGAACCAGATTCAAATATAGGAAAAAAAACAAAGTTAGAAAAAGGATTTCCAGAAGGAAGGAAATATTTCCCACTCTGTCTATAGCCCAGTAAATAAGTAAACGGCACTTGTAAAATTTTTAGATTCTGTAACTCAAGACAGGAATGGGATAATACTAAGAGACAATATGAAAAAGAAGTAAGAGAACAGAAATCTCAATCAATCCCACAAATCATAAAATGGGTTATCTCATTTACATCTGCTAAACCCAGGTTAGAGAGGAGTTGACACTTGGTAGAACAGGAACTGCCAGAATCTAGGACACTGATTATACTCAATTTCTCACTAAGGATTTATTAGGTATTCCACAATGGGAAAGCTGGGAAGAAAAGGCACAATAGGGTAGATGTAATAGTCAGTGATGTAGGCAGAGTCCTGAAACCTTACGGTAACAAAACTGGCCAGTTTCATGTTGAGACAAAACTGCAGGAACTGATGATTGTTTATATTGTAGGTCAAAAAGTCTGTTATCAGAGACAGGGATAACATACCACAAAATAGGCTCCCTTCAACTAAGAAGATCTAAGTTTAGGGTTTGGGGAGCCTAAATAAACAAGAATTATTATGTACGCTGATTTACAACCCCCCCCCCCCCCCCCCCCCAAAAAAAAAAAAAAAAAAAAAACTATTACCCCTTCAATAGATCACCTGGGTGGAAGTAGTTGCATAGTGCTACGACTGGCAAGAACAGAAACAGACTTTTCCAGTGCATGACTGGAGAGATGCATTCTCACAAGAAGTAAAAAACACATTGTTAAAATGTATCCTCTGTATCCAAAGTAGAAATTCAAAGTGTTCTACACATGGACAGATATCATTGCCATGCATAAAAAGGTACATGCACCCATCCCTGCATAGCAACTCAGCTGTACAGGGGAGTCTGTACAGCTGCTGCGCTCCCATTCACTTTCTATTTGGCTGTCTGCACACAGCTCAGCAGTGAAAACAAAAGTAAAACAAATGGCTGCATGGAACAGAGTACCTGTGTGAATGAGCCCTAATTTGTTTATTCCAGTGCAATATGACTCACATGATGTTACTAAAAATAAAATGAACACAAAGCAATAGCAAAAGATTCAGTAATCTGTTTACATTCTTGAGTAGAAGGAAAAAAAATATAATTTCAGACAGTACACTTAAAAAATAAAAAAAAGCACTGCCCTGCAAACTATCCACTGAAAGAAATTGAGCCGTCCTAATTTAGAGTTGTATTTTTCACCAGTGAGCAAAGAAAAATTCTCAAATTAAAAAAAAAAAAAAAAAATTGTGCTTACTTCTTATTAACAACAGGCTTCTGTGGTTGACCCCGGGTTACTTTTACCCAAGATGACATAGTAAAGCACCTGGAAAAAAAAAAAAAAAAAAAAGTTAATGCACAAGTATTAAATAGGTATGAAAAACATTTTAATGTACTTGTTTTGAAAAAAGGAAAAAAAAAAAAAAAAAAAAACAAAGAAAACTTAACAGATCTTTGATAGGGATAGATTTCCATACTGTCTCAGCACTGATATTTATTTTTTTTGTCCACCGCGTCTTACTTTATTACACATTGAGTTTTTTTCCCCTTTACTTAAAAAAGTACATTATCTATAACAACCTAAACAATTACATAGAAAACTACAAAGGGTAACCATGTACATGATACCAAAGATGTCTGATCCAGCTGTTTCCAACCAGATCAGGGTGTGACTTCATGTCTTTAGGAGCCCTCTTACCCGTTAGCCAGCTACTGTCTGCAGGAAGAGTCAATCAGGCTTAGAAAATCTTTTGTGACTGTTATTGTTCCCCTATTAAATGTCCACCAGCATTGCTCATCTCTCCACCCACCCATCTTGCACACCAACAAACATGACACTCTGCCAAGCTATTAGGTTTGTGCACCTGCCACCAGAACCTCAGACTCTCAGATATCTTTGGGCAGCTAAAATAATAAACACCAAGAAGAAAGTTGGGGGGAAGTTCTGCCTAAGGCCAAGTTCACATATGCTGTTTTGACCTGCATTTTAGCACACTGGAAGAATGCATGTTAAAATATGGACACAAACAATTGTTTTCCATGTGTCCTGTTCACACCACAATGCTGACATCATGAATAGTGTGGTGTGTTAAGATGCTACACGCATTTTAAACACAAGTCTTTTGGTGGAACAATGCTTTTTTTTTTTTTATTAATTATTTTGTCCCTTACAAGGACCCAGACAGCAGCCATCTTAGAGGGGAAATAGTGATGCATATCAATGACATAAAAACGCTGGGATATGAAGCCCGAGGCCTAAAAAAAAATGTTTATTTTTTATCCATCAGGATAATATGAAATGTTGCTTATGGATATTTTTATTTATTTAAACACACATTCAGGCTTTTTCCATGCGTTCCTCCTGGATTGTAAAAAGCCTGTTTATACTGGCAGGGTTTATGGTTTATAGAAACTGATGAGTTTATAAGCCATGTGTGGGTTGTTATGCAAGTCGTCCAGTTTGCAAAGGCATCTCGAAAAAAGAAAAGAAAAAAAAAAAAAGTCTCTCTCGAGAAAAGGATGCGGTGTCAATGCACGACAATGGAAGGCAATGCACGTCCATTTTTCATGCATGTTTATGTGTGAACAGGCCAAAAAACGTCATCCCTTCTGCTATTGTTTAAATAATTTTGTCATATCATTTTGAGTCAACCTGTCCAACTTTGCATTTTCCAGCTCCACATGCTGCATTAACATGAGAGGTGGATAAACTTCTGCCTGATGTCAAGGGCAGAACCAGGAACTCATATGCAGAGGTCTCACCAATAGAGACCATAAGAGCTTGTTTATACTAGTGGTACCCTTGCCTCACTTCGAAAAGCCTGTGTTTAGCAGCACTGCCACATTTATACTCTTTTGGTGGCAGTAAAAAAATAATAAAAAATCAGTAGGGGTATAAGGATACCTGGGGAACCAGTGTTTTGGCTGTGGCATGAGTACAAGCCACTCAAACCATTGAGTTAAAGGGGGAGAGTTAGTAGAACCACAGCGCAACCGCCTCCTGGCTGTAAGTGTTAGCAAGCCCCAAAAGAAAAAAAAAAAAAAAAAAAAAAAAAAAAAAAAGGAAGAAGTCACTTGGTTTTACATATTTGATTTTTTTTTACAGTCAGGACTAAGGTTTTATGCTTGCTGAGCTTCTGTGTGAGTGCCTGGGCTTCTGGTGTGGCTGGAAAGCACAGGTTGATGCTGTATCGATTGGTACAATTAGTGCCGTATGCGCCAAGGGATGAATGCCCAGAAAGCAGAACTCTTACATTCCAGGCATTTGTCCCTGGGTGCATACTGCACTCAACGTTAGTATCACTCAGTATAGAGTCCAGCAGCCACATTGTTTGGCTACTCCCTGTAAACTTTTACAGGCTACCAGTATGGGACTGGACAGTGCACCTGTGCCTTCCAGCCACATAAAAATGTTGGGATATGAAGCCCGAGGCCTAAAAAAATGTTTATTTTTTATCTATCAAGACTATATGAAATGTTGCTTATGGATATTTTTATTTATTTAACACACATTCAGGCTTTTCCATGCTTTCCTCCTGTACTGTAAAAACCCTGTTTATAATGGCACTGCATGTGTGGGCAATGCTGAGGTGCACCAAGATGGCGTCCGCGCCGGATATGACGTCACTACTACTGGGTATATCCTGAGGAAGTCACGTGTACCAATCGTGACGCAACGTGTAGATACACCAGTAGGAGGGGCTTGAGCGGTCAACGTAGTGACATCATATCCGTTGCGGACGCCATCTTGGTGCACCCCAGCATTGCCCACACATGCAGTACACCCATAGTGTGGTGAAAACGCCGGTTTACATCTGATGGAATGTGAGTAAGCATTTTAGCTTTGGCATTTTGTAATAAATGATTTTACACTATATTGGATCTCTTTGCTTTACTGGGGATGCGTATGGAGTGATATCCGTCCTAGTATCAGGAGGTAGCGTCTGGCTACCAACCCACCAGAGGAGAGAGTCTCATCATTACTGTTAAGGAGGATTCCACCCCTTAGAGGAATATAAAGAGGCATATTTAGCTCAATGGTCCTGAGGGGCCTGGGCAAGAAGGTGAGGGGGCACCCCTGTCATTGTGGATTCACACGCAGTTTGGAGCACTTGCATGAAGAGTGTTTTTGTTGTTTCACCTAATAGAACACTTATCTATTTTGTACTGTATGTGTCACTGGGAGTGACCCCCTGTTATGTATGAGGTTTAAATTCCTACAAGGGGCACAATATATTGGTATAACACTTATTGAATCTCCCATCTAGGACCTATGTCTTTACTACTATTATTTTATATGCAAGTGTATTTTTAGCACTGCACTACTAACAGATTCTGATTTTGACTGGGTTTGGTGCCTAGGTTGTGGCACTTGAGTGCTGGCTGCTTATTGTTTGATTGTATAATAGCGCAGGGGTTACTATATATATATATTATTTACCTGGCTGTGAAGCTGCAAGCTATCACAGCCGGGTGCCCACACTGAAGATGCCGGCCTCCTGCAATACAGGACTGCTGGTGAAACAGGCTGTGGGGGACACACCACGGGACAGGTAAATGGCTGTTTTTTTTAAAAGTCAGCAGCTACAGTTTTTGTAGCTGCTGACTTATTTTTTGACAGCGGAAGTGGAACTCCGCTTTAATGAATACAAGGCTCTCTCTAATTGGCTGAGGTGCAGATCGTGATGTTATCAGCCTGCTTCTCCACCTTAGCCAACCAGAGAAAGCTTTGTGTTCAATGATGGCTTCCTGTGAATGGCTGAGCACAACTTAAGCTTGGTATCCACTAGTAGAATTTCGTTGGACAGTCTTAATTGTAAGAATGTTCGTTCGCTTCTCTAATCATCAGTGGGTCAAAACAACATTCAATTTTGACCACAGTGACAGGATAATCTGAAGGAGCAGGATAGAAAATTTTTCTTGAACGTACAAATTTCTTATAGTGTTAGCTTTCGTTCAGTAAATTCATTCCAAAAATTGAAAGTTAAATGCAAAGGAAATCTTGACCTACTTTGAACTACATTCAAACGTTCTGAGAATTTTTGTTTTTCTACTAGTGTGTACCCAGCTTTAGAATAACTCAATTCTGTTCCGAGTGTGGGAATGGAAGTCCCCATCCTGCTTTTAGAACACAGTGCTGTGTACTATATGTAGCAGGTGCTACACAACTTATATAGCGCCCCCAGAGCACAAATCTGTTAATGAAGAATGTATTCAGTCAAGATCAGCTTAGTCCAAACTATTTAGTCACAAGAAACCTGGAGTTAGGCTTTAAGACGTGTGCTGATGTGACCTATAATGTGTGTTAACATTCCATAAAAAGTAAGGCTAGCATTATTCTTCCATTTACCAAGACATGCTTGCAGCTGAACAATGTGAGGCAGCACATCATTTCCTGTTCAGAAGACTGACCACCTCATCAGGTTACCTGTGTATTGGATGAACAGTTTTCTAAAATCTCTAACTCTTCAGGGTGCACCCACATCACATACGTTGCCCTACAGGCTCTTGCTGGCACCACTGGAAGTTGAAGGTCGAAGGCTCCATGCACAGTAGCTTTTCTTAAGCTCAAAATAATGTGGCTAAAAACCCCTGGTAACAGCGTTTTTTAGAAATGATTTATGATTATTAAACGGAGCATTCAGCATTTTTTTCTGGTAACAAATTGCTCCCAAAAACACACCAAAAAAAAAAAAAAAAAAATGTTTTTTCTGTTCCTAGAAGCTGAAGCTTGAAAAACACTCCTAGCCTACAGTACTGCACATGGACACATAGGATTAACAGGAGAAAAAAAAATGCTCACAACTAGCTGCTAGGAGCTTAAAAATAAGCTAGTGTGCATGGAGCCTGAAAGCTGGCTGGGGACATTATCAAAATTTCCAGACTGCAGAAAGGGGTAGGAGGAGGAGTATAATAAAAGAAAAGAAAAATATATAGCTATATATAATTTTTTTTTTTAAAAAAAAGGGACTTGTCAAGAGAAGAGGTTCAAACACCACGGTTACACTTACCAATAACAGCATATTTTCAAGAATTTTCCAGGACCGCTACTTGATTGGCTCCATCTTCAACAGGAAACACAAACTAGAAAGATTAAAAAGCCTCTCGCTCCCCCTCATCTTCAGTTCTTGTACATAAAGAACCTCCAATGTACAAAAGGGTAATTTTATACGTAAAAATGCAACAAAAACATCTGGGTGGGAATATGGACACTGTCCAGGAAGATTCTTAGAAATACTGTTACCAGTAAGTGTAACCATGGTTTTCCCAAATCATCTTCCAGGTCAGCTACTTGAGAGGATAAACAATTAAAGATA